GGTTCTATTAAAAAAATATTCTTACACGTACATATTTTAAAAATTGTGTCCATTTTGTCTGCCATTTTATTGTCCAACTTATATCCTATGATGCCTATAAAACAATTCATATAAACAGTAGGAAAATGAAACGTTGTTTTTTGATTTTTTTTCCATGTGTTTTAGAATTCTTAACAGAGATGTTAGAAGTAGGGGTGGTAATTTAAAAAAACATGATGTCATTAAAATATAGATATTTGCATATAACCTATATTACATTGAGAAAAAAAGGTTTCTAATCATTCCCTCTTTTATTCTTAACTTCCGAATATATAATGTGAGAATGATATGAAAGTAACCTTATTCTGGTTTCAAAACAAAGATTAGGCTTCAGGACATTTTACAAAATCTAAAACTAGTTCCATTAGTTCAGATAATGTGTGAGGTTAAGCTCTTCTGTCAGCAGAAATAAAATGTCTGAAGCTTGAAATACTGAAAGGTGCAAACTTCTAATCTAGGGATCTTACGGAGTTGGTGATATTTCTGAAGTAAAGGAATATTCAGTGAGGCTTCATCCATTATATTTATTAAAAGGAATATTTCTGTCCAATGATCTTCAGTTATGTTTATCTGAGAAGCTGAGAATGTCTTCATTTCTTAAAATAGCATGAATTTTTTAAGCATATAAAGTTACATCACTAATGCTGATGGAGGACTAGAGATTTTTTTTTAGCATGTCCTACTACTCCAGGGCCTTATTGTATTTCTGTCTGCAAGCTTTTTGGGCTTCTGCAGAATAATGTGTCTCTTCTGTATCATCAATGTGACTGTAGAAAATTTTGTCGTTAAGCATCAGGACATTAGATTTGTGAGGCTGACAGACTTCCTTAAGCAGCAAGAATTATTTGCTATGTATTTTAAGAACATTACCTTTTGGTATATGATAAAATACACTATAGAGTTAATGGAATTAGGATCAGCACATGATCAGTTTTAACATACTGCTTGTAGTTCAGAACCTGATGACATGAACCCTGTAAATTGTTTAGGAATTTCGCCTCTAAACTACCATTTATTAAATAACTCCATTGTGTTCTACTGTTAATTATATTTAGATGTATTACATTAGTGTTAACATTAAAAGTGTAAATCATAAAACATTTATATTAACATACTTGGATGCTGAAAGTAATTTGTAGCCAATTAGTTATTTGTATCTGCTGTTCAAAGGAGGCTTTCATCATCCATTTCAAATGTGTGGTTGGGATTAGCTGCACACTAGAAAAATAATGGCTGCACTGCATGTGTCCAGCTTTTCTAGCCTATTTCCTGTCTTGCATACTCAGAAAGTATTGTTGTCTCACAGTAGCTTCACAGATACTCTAATTCTCTCTGAAATATTTAAAAATTATTGTCCATGTATTGCCCTTTGCCATCAGGGCATAAATTCTTAAACTTCCCTTGCAACCATATGTAAGAAGCTTTGGGACGTGCCTTTTTCTAAAGCACAACTACCAGTTTATGTTACAGCATATAACCAGAAGAACAGCTTACTGTCTAGAGTATACAGAAGGCAGTTACTTTTATTTTCACCACACGTCCATTTGATTGGCAGAAATTGCACTAAACATGAAAGTTTTTCCAAGATTTAACATGATTCACGTACAGGAAGAAAATGCTATTTCCCTAGCATCTTCTGAGATGTGCACAATCACCAAAACTTAGCTGATAATTTTCTGATGAAAAGTATTGTATTTTTATATTTATAAATAGTATGTTTTACAGTGGCTAAATAGCAGAATTAAAAGGAAAACAAAAGTGATTTTGAAGGAATGGTAATAGAGCCGAATGGAAACTAGTCTTAGCTATATCTGTAAAAAAATATTGCTAGTTTCTCCAGAAAAAAAAAAAAAATCTGTAATCACAACTTATTTGTATTTAATGTGTTAAGAGTATTTTCAAATGAAATGTTTCAGAAAGTTTAATATTTTTCTAAATAATTCTGCAAGCACTGTTAGCTAGCACAAGTTGTAAGTCAGTCAGCGATTTTTGCAAATATTTTCATCAATTATGAGAAAGGTATTCTCAATGCTTGATAACTCAGATGAGGCTGAGTGGCATGTAATTGCTTCTTTGTCAAATGAAGTAATTTAGCTGTAGTAACAGCCTTGAGGCATAAAATCAGCACCATTGTTATCAGAGCAGGGTATTTTTTTTCCTTGTTCTTGTAAAAGAGGAATGGAATTCACACACAACTAGTATTGCTACAGATGCATGAAAGCAGAATACCTGAAACCAGATTATCATATAGAATGTAGTGTTTAAAACATACATATTTTAAATATTCAATGTCTCTATTGCATAGCATTAATTTAGACATTTACGTTTGGGATTAAATGTCTAAATTGGGACTAAATGTTTTAATCTGTGGAGTGCTGCAATATGCATTAACACATTAAGAAAACTGTACTCCTGAAAGTCTTAAAGTAATGGGGTTTAGTGGTATGATATTAGAAATGAAATTAAGTTTCTGATACCATTGGTGAGCATTTCTTAGCTGTACATTATAACAAATAGTTGAGTATTCCAAATGAAGATGCAGAACAAATTCCCTTTTTCTGCATCCTTTGTCATAGTGATAGATTCATTATGCTTCCTGTCACTCAGACCTGCAACCTGCGAATGGCTTTGACTTTCTCACCTTTTCTACACACAATCAGATTTTGTCACTATTGCTGAACACAGCTAAAGTTCCAATGTTCAGTTCACGTACTAAATTTCTCTAGCCTTCCTTGTTTTACCATCCTTGGAGGGCTCCCCCTCCCCCCCCCCTTTTTTTTTGGAAGCATTCTGCAGTTCAGCTGTCTATTCTTTTCTGTTAAGCCCTCCTATTCCATCAGGATTGCCAGCCTGAATAGCCAATTTATGCTACTAATATAAAACCGCTGTGACTGTCTGTCTGTGATGTCCGCTTCATTCCCTAAGGGCTACTTTTTTGAGTATGAACATCAGATATCCTATGTGGCATTAGGTACCAACATTTAGGGAACTGACTTTCACCCTAAATGCTTAGTTTAAAAGTAGACCTATATTCAGAAGCCTACATTTGGTTGACCCATTTTCCTGTTGAATCCCACCCTGAATTTCCCGTTCCAAAAAAAGAAGTGAATTAGAAGATATGGATGAGAATAGCCCATATTTTGGAAGGAACTGTAATTACACCTATTACAGAAGTGTCTTTAAATTATGCTGCTATGCAGTTCAGGGAGGTACTTCTGCTATCTTAGATTTTTGAGGAAAACAGCTACCTTCATTCAGTTAGAGGAAATAGGAAGTCCATATATTTCAGATATTATCAGTAAATGAAAATACACTCGTTCCATTATTTCCCTCAGAACTGCATTTGTTTTATTTTAACCACTTGTCTATTAGAGGTATACTATAACTTAAGGAAGATGAAAGAATCTGATTCAAATAATTCTTTTTGCTGTACATGTTGCAGTATTCCCAAAGCTTGTGGCCAGTTGACTTCTAGAGGAAACACTGTGCTACTCTCCACTTTTCTATGCAGAAGAAGGGAACAGATGTCAATGTATCTGCATTTATCTTTCTCAAAACCTAAATTCTGTGTGGAGACCTACCAGGGTGTGGGACTTAATTTTGGGTCTGAATGGGTCTGAAATAAAAAAAAAAAAAAAACAAGAGGAAAGCAAAATATTAGAATTAGGTCAGAAAGGTTGCACATAGTACCTTACCAGCACTACAAAGAATCTTCACAAAAGTTAAGAGAACTTAAGTAAAGATTTGCATTATGGCCAGTTCTGAACGTCTCTATTCCTGACTGGTGCCACACCACACTCTGCAGTATCTAGCAGCACTCAGCACCTGCTGCTAGCAGAAAACTGCTTAACTATCTGAATTATCTAAGCTCTTCTTGGCTTCTGCTTGTCTTCCTTTTTTGCTTTTCTCAAAATCTTATGGAAAATGTAAAGAATGTTTAGAGGAAAAAGCCTTCATAGAAGTCACTCTGCCAATAAATTTAAATGGAAGAGAACCTCAGTGCTGCTGTGGAAACGATGTGCTTCCTCCATGAAAGTCTTATTTTTCTGGTAGATCTGCAAAACACAGGTTTTAAGAGCTGACTTACTTGATTCATAGATTTGTATGAGAGAGCATTCATGTTTGTTGAGGATATGTGACCAAATATTTTCCTCACAGCAAAGACTTCAGGGAATTTCAGCATTCCTTGTGTTTTTATCCTCTTCTTTGAGATTCCCTTGCAAAAAGCCCAGCGTGCTTTGTATGCAACTGAGGTGTGACAAGCATTGAACATGTGATTCCCTGCATATGCCTGTGGCTGGAAATACCTTTTCCTGTTGTACATTACAAATCTACATTTAATTAAACTTCCTACTTCTGCTTTCAATTACTTTATTATCTCTTCTCTGTATCTTGCCTCATTAAATATTCTTCAGTAATTTGGTTATCTTCCTTCATAATGCATGGAGAAAGAGGAACATACAATATCACTGTACTGATCAACTTTCTACATCATATAGACTACACTCTACTGTAACACATAACTGTCTGTGAATTACTGTAGGCCTCATTTTCATACTCAATGATATTCTGCCATTCTTTTTCAAAGGAGATAGTGAGTGAAATGAAAGAAAATGATTGACACAACTGAGAAAAAATTGTCTGAATACAGTAATGTCTATAATGGAAGAAAGCTCTGGGATTATGCATACGCTCTCAGGGAAAGCTTTCTATTTCCTGATTGCCATGCTTCAAACATTACCTGTCAAAAAGGAATACCTTTTAACGAATGAAGCAGAAAAATTCAGGATACACAGGATATCTATCACTATCCCTGTATACTCTAGTAAGTGCACCATTTCCAATGAGGTCAGCGTTTAGACTGTGACAATCAGATAGTTCTTTTGCATTACAAATATTATCTCTGTGATTTGAACAGGTCAATACATTTATCCTTTTTTTTTTTTAATCTAAAATTTTAGGAGAAAGATGTTCTGTTCATATGAATGATTGTCTAGACAGACCCTGCTGGAATGGAGGAACATGTAAAGAGGACATAAATGGCTTCAAATGCAATTGCCCCTTTGGTAAGCACTCATAAATTTTTATACAACTGTTAGTTTGTCATAGAGTGTGAATTCTACACTTGTTATTGAGGTACTATAAAATCTGGTATGGTGAAAGCAGCTTGCTTACATTTTGAAAGGAATAGAGCTAGTTATTTAGCCTAATAAACATAAAAGTTTTCTCAGTGTGTGTCCATGAAAATTTGTCTATGACTAATTTTAATAAATAATTGAATGCTTTAGCTTAAAAATATACTTCTAGTTTGTAAAAAGCCACTGAAATACTGGAACATACTGGTAAGTAAATTTGACAGAAATTGAAATTTCCAGTTACTTAGTGTTTATTTATATGTTTGATTTTATAATGACACATTCCTCTTAAGAGTATAAGTTTTAGGCAGTGAAGAATGTTCAGATTTTACTAACATCCAGAATCCCAGTCTTTGGGATCCTACTGTGCTGATTGCATTGCTCGTACTTAAAAGAATCTAGCACTTGTCTAAAAAGTATATGAGCTAAATCTGGTTGCCAAGCATATGCATTTTGTATTATCTGAGGTGTCCTTAAGTATCCAAGATACTGTATGAGGCTATCAGATATTGTGCAGGTTGTACGGGAGATCCAAGCTCGATAAGAAACTAGAGGCCAGGCAGGATACCCTGCAGTGTCTCAAATAGCATTAAATGCCTATATTTAGGCAGCTCAGCTTAGCACATGCTGTAAAAAGACCCATCAAAAATAGTCAAAGAAATACGATGTTAAAGATTTTGCTTTGTTAATTATATATACACTGTATAATTTGAGATTTTGCATGTTGTTGTATGTAGATTAAGAAAAACATAAGAGAGGGTGGGGCAGAAATTCCTTTGGCCAGTATGATCTCATGACCAAAGAGAGCCTACAGAAATACTGAGGTGTTTAGAAGAGAAAGTGATCAGTAACACCAGGTAATGCCAGAGTACTGAAACACAAGTCTCCAGCCATCCCTCTTAAACAAAGCAACTGTTTTTAGAGGACTTTAATATACTTAATATAAAAAGATCCGTTGGTGTCCAGTAACACTGCTACATATGGCACTGAAAGGAGAACTCTTTCTCACATAACAGAATGTATGCCCTGATAGGAAACCATTGACATTGTTGTATTATGTCTGTCTTAAATTAAAAATAATTCAGTAAATCTGTGGACAGACCTCATCCAATGAATTTTTATTATTATTCTTGATAAGCGCATGTATGGTATGAGCGTCTGTAACTATTAATTCCTTTACGTGGTGCCCCTGAGATTAATGAAGGGATTCTTTTGCAACGATGAGGTTTATGCAATGGACATATATACATTATAAAGTATGAGTTTCCTTCTACTGACTCTACTAAAATGCTGTGGATCATTGTGATGCTTTATCATTGTCAATCAAAGGCACAACTACAGTGAAGCAGAGATTATTTGTGGAAATGATTTGTTCTTTTTGAAAATAGCTGACATTTTCTGTATTGCTATTTGCAGCTACATTTTTAAAGCTATGGGAAGCTGAATTAGGAGGAAAATTGTGTAGTGATGTGCATACCTAAAGAACTGAAGAGAGAGGAGTTTGACTCTAGATATGATATGGATTCTGTTTGTGCCCTTGGGTGAATTAATTAATATCCCCAGCTCATATGGTCTAGCTAAGGATGTAGATAAACAGATGTAGCCATCTCACAAAGGTATTGCGATGATTAAAGAGATAATGTTTGTAAATTGCCCAAAAATAAAAGTCACTGTATTACTGGATACTTTTATAGTTTACTTGGTTTTAATAAGAGCATCACTTCAAAAGATGAGGCAGATAACACTTGATAGTAAGTGAAAAATGACAATTTATGGCTATATGCTTTCATTGAGAATGAGTTATATTACATGTCTGAAAATAAGTAATTTTTGCTGCTACTACTGCTGTAGTTGCAGTTTTTTAGCAAATAATTGCTATACAGAAAAACAAGAAACTAATAACTTTGTGTTCAAGAAAAAAAATACAAAGGAGTGTAGAGAGTTGCCCTGGTCATCAGGTTCTTGTAAATGAAAATATTTGAATCTGCAACTGTCTGTCTGACTAGACCACCAATAACTTGTATTTCACTGTGTGTTTTTCTTTAGAATGTGTTTTTATTCATTAGATGCATAGCTTTTACCTTTTCACTTTTCTGCTTTGCCTTCTGTTGTCTGAGACAGTCACTTGCTGTGCCTTCTTCTTAGGTGCAGGGTGATGTCTTCCCAGTGTGCATTATCACATTCATAATGACCTTTGTGCATTATTAAATTCACAACAAATAATATGCACAAAGGGCTTTGCTCTATACACAGTAGGGTTTCCATCACTGCTTCTATTAAAGTTATTAATATCAGCCAAGACTGATAACCCCATTGCTGTAGACAGTGTAGGATACCTCTGCTGAGCAAGTAGTACCTCTGTCATGGCAAAAGTGAGAAGCATTATTTTTAACTTCAACTGAAAACTGTAAAGGTATTTGTAGATAGAAATTGTATACATTAAAGTTTAATAAGTTGTTTTAAAAATTTTTTTCTTCAAATTATCCCACAACAGTAATTCCATGTATTTTGAAATATGAAAGAGTAAATTCTCTTAACCAACAATTCAGAAGGAAAAAAGTGAATTTGCTTTTAGTTTTTCTCTAATAAACTCTTCAGTACTAAGCTAAGATCCAATCTAGAAGGACTCCTGAAGAGTTTTGCATTACCAGTGAGTGAAGGCCACTTGGTGGATGTTCTTGGCTTGCCTTAATCATGACGAGATACTACATGAATAGAAAACCTATATTTTTGAAAGGAAAG